AGATGAGTAATAATAATTTCTTTGAGACATTTCTCCTGATTAAAACTTATACGTTAAAATTGTAACGCACACTTAGAAATAAACCAAAACAAAAATTGGAAATACCGGAATGTATCAGAAACGGTCAAGTAACGCTTATACAGGGCAAAAGAGGGAACATCGAAAACAGCCTAGGTCCATCTCCATGCCATTTTTCTGACATGAAAATAGTAATGATTTTCTTTTTTTGTAACACTTTGGTCAAAGAAGAGAATAAAAGCAAGGTCTAGGCATCCTCCTGCAACTTGGAAGAAATTGAAAATGGATTTGAAGTGATAGCATTTTTTGGATAGTAGCTTTTCTGTTTCTGAATCATCATCGCAAACTCCTCACAGAGAAATTCAGTGAGAAGTACTGGATCTCAAAATGTCACTTCGATTAATAAGACAAAGTATCTCAACAACAGCTCCACCATTCTATTCCATGATTTTAATTTTACGCTGTTTCTATCAGCGGAAATCAAGACTTCTTAGTTTACAACAATCTTTAAAAGATCAAATAGTGAAACAGTACTTACAAGTTTATGAAAAACTGAAGGACATCTGATACAAGTAGACTTAAAGTACCATGGAAATAAAACTGAATCTAGTGCTTCTATGGAATTCTACCATTTAATCCCTATCTGTGAATATAGTTTTGGTTCTAGAACTACAACCTTTGAAATCCATCATCACTCACTCAAGTGTGACAGAAGATCTGAGGTCTTACCTCTGTTTGACAATTTGGTCCTAAAAACTCGCTCTTTAGAAATAAAACCTTGCTCATAAAAATGAGTTATTTGCTTTATCTTTCTCATTAGGGAGTTCTATTTACACTAAAATCTAAATTGTTTCTATTGTGATCTTAGTGAAATGAGGATTCATTTAAGGTCGTCCATAAATAATTATTTGCTTAGGCAATGTATTCTAAAATAATCTACACTTAATTTCTAAACCTAAATGTATTGAGCTCGACTTGAACTTTGCTGTTTACTATTGTAACTTTCCCACAATCATAATCTTTTTAAAATTTCTTATTTTCCATATTATGTATTTAAATAATTCAAAAACAAATCATTCCATGAGATAGATGAAGATATACATGATGACGATGAGAATGATGATGGCAGGTGAAAGGGAGAATGCTATTGGATAAATGTGATTTCAGTCTTGTTTCTAAGTACTGGAGTTCAGGGTGATGAGAGAACACTATTATTCCTCCTCATGGCCTCATGATACTTCTGTAATTCTCAGCATCAGGCCTAGACAAATACCCTCACATGGTATTTCATCAAGAATAATGTAAAACCAACATATTTTCAATGATTTATTTGCTTCTTTTTTTTTTCTTTTACTGCATTTTAAAAGTTGATAACAAAAGTGACCTCCAACAATTAGGATTCTATTTTGGGGATTTGGAGCATTTTTCTATATGAACGTGGATGAATACTCTATGCAATAATATAGTATATCAAGTTTATTTCATCTTTTAATGGCATCATTAGCAAGTCAAATTCTTGCAAATGCTTTTTCACATTCTTAGCTGTGGTGACTAAATCTGGATTATTTTACTATAGCAGTCAATGTAGCATTATAGATGCACAAACATACTCAAAGATCACACTAAATATTTTTATACCTTAAGAAATTTGCCTTTCTATGATATTTTTTCTCTAATGCAGAGCCAAAAAATGTATAGTAACAAAAAATTTTACCCAATACAGGAATAGTATTGTGAAATTAGAATGCTAACAATATAAATATAAATATTTCATTTAGAGACACATTTTTGAACATATTTAATATATGTAATATCATCATAGTATTATTTATGGTAAATTCATGAATTTCTAACACTTTCAAATGTGTATCACAAATAATTAAATTGGAAATAAGAGAAGAGGTGTCTATCAGTCATAAATATTCAAATTTTGATATTTCAAACTCATATTAGCACTAAGATGGTGGATTTACAGTTCTTTCTTATCTCTTCTTTTGTTTTAATTAATTTAAGTAATGCTGTGGTACAGGTGTGGTGGCTCACACCTGTAATCCCAGCATTTTTGGTGACTGAGCCAGGTGGATTGCCTGGCTTCCATACTGGGGATTCTTCCTCTTTCCATTTACCAAGAGAACATCACCTAGAAAGTACACTGTTCCCAGAAGGAGAATGAGAAACTAATGAAGTCAGGTTGCCCCCAGCTGATCCACACTAAATTGGCCAAACTCTATCTCCAAGATGCCGAATTTGGCCCATCTCAAATCACCAGAGCCATCCATCAAACCCAGCTTAGAAAAATGAAATCCAGGCCTTGAGCACAGGAGTTCAAGACCTGCCTGGGCAACACGGCAAAACCCTGTCTCTACAAAAAAAAAAAAAAAAAAAAACTAGAAAAAATTAGCAGGGCGTGGTAGTGATCGCTTGTTGCCCTAGCTACTCTGGAGGCTAAGATGACAGAATCACTTGAGCAAGGTGGCAGAGGTTGCATTGAGCCGAGATTGTACTTCTGCACTCCAGCCTGGACAACACGGCAAGATCCTGTCACAACATTAAAAAAGAAAAGTTTTAAATTTTAACTTGGATTCTTTAGTACCACAATGCTCTATCATCCTTTATGGTATCTATGAGATACCATATCTGATTACAATGGTATCTATGAGAATTTGCTGTATCACCCTAATTTTGTACTTAGAAATGTACTTTATGTTTGTTTTTTTTTTATTTTTTACTTTTTTAAAAATTAATTTATAATTATTATTACATTTTAAGTTCTAGGGTACATGTGCACACCGTGCAAGTTTGTTACATGCCATGTTGGTGTGCTGCACCCATTAACTCATCATTTACATTAGGTATATCTCCTAATGCTATCCCTCCCGCTTCCCCCCACCCCACAATAGGCCCCGGTGTGTGATGTTCCCCTTCCTGTGTCCAAGTGATCTCATTGTTCAATTCCCACCTATGAGTGAGAACATGTGGTGTTTGGTTTTCTGTTCTTGTGATAGTTTGCTGAGAATGATGGCTTCCAGCTGCATCCATGTCCCTACAAAGGACACAAACTCATCCTTTTTTATGGCTGCATAGTATTCCATGGTGTATATATGTCATATTTTCTTAATCCAGTCTGTCACTGATGGACATTTGGGTTGATTCCAAGTCTTTGGTATTGTGAATAGTGCTGTAATAAACATATGTGTGCATGTGCCTTTATAGCAGCATGATTTATAATCCTTTGGATATATACCCAGTAATGGGATGGCTGGGTCAAATGGTATTTCTAGTTCTAGATCCTTGAGGAATCACCACACTGTTTTCCACAATGGTTGAACTAGTTTACAGTCCCACCAACAGTGTAAAAGTGTTCCTATTTCTCCACATCCTCTCCAGCACCTGTTGTTTCCTGATTTTTTCGTGATTGCCATTCTAACTGGAGTGAGATGGTATCTCATTGTGGTTTGATTTGCATTTCTCTGATGGTGAGTGATGATGAGCACTTTTTCATGTGTTTGTTGGCTGTATGAATGTCTTCTTTTGAGAAACTTCTGTTAATAACCTTTGCCCACTTTTTGATGAGGTTGTTTGTTTTTTTCTTGCAAATTTGTTTGAGTTCTTTGTAGGTTCTGGATATTAGCCCTTTGTTAGATGAGTAGATTGCAAAATTTTTCTCCCATTCTGTAGGTTACCTGTTCACTCTGATGGTAGTTTCTTTTGCTGTGCAGAAGTTCTTTAGTTTAATTATATCCCATTAGTCAATTTTGGCTTTTGTTGCCATTGCTTTTGGTGTTTTAGCATGAAGTTTTTAACATTTTTTATTGTGGAGTATATTATACATATACAGAGTAATAATACCTAATGAAATGTATGAAAAAACTATAAGGTTAACATCTATGTTACCACACCTTGGTAAGGAAATAAAATTTGCCTTTGTATATTTAGAAAACCCCATTGTCTCAGCCCAAAATCTCCTTAAGCTGACAAACAACTTCAGCAAAGTCTGAGCATACAAAATCAACGTGCAAAAATCACAAGCACTTCTACATACCAATAACAGACAAGCACAGAGCCAAATCATGAGTGAACTCCCATTCACAATTGCTTCAAAGAGAATAAAATACCTAGGAATCCAACTTTCAAGGGATGTGAAGGACCTCTTCAAGGAGAACTGCAAACCACTGCTCAATGAAATAAAAGAGGACACAAACAATTGGAAGAACATTCCATGCTCATGGTTAGGAAGAATCAATATCGTGAAAATGGCCATACTGCCCAAGGTAATTCATAGATTCAATGTCATCCCCATCAAGCTACCAATGACTTTCTTCACAGAATTGGAAACAACTACTTTAAAGCTCAGATGGAACCAAAAAAGAGCCCGCATTGCAAAGACAAACCTAAGCAAAAAGAACAAAGCTGGAGGTGTCATGCTACCTTACTTCAAGCTATACTACAAGGCTATAGTAACCAAAACAGCATGGTACTTGTACCAAACCAGAAATATACCAGTGGAACAGAACAGAGCCCTCAGAAATAATAAAACACATCTACAACCATCTGATCTTGGACAACCGTGGCAAAAACTAGAAATGGGGAAAGGATTCCCTATTTAATAAATGGTACTGGGAAAACTGGCTAGCCATATGTAGAAAGCTTACACTTTATACAAAAATTAATTCAAAGGGATTAAAGACTTAAATGTTAGACCTAAAACCATAGAAACCCTAGAGGTAAACCTAGGAAATACCATTCAGGACATAGGCATGTGCAAGGACTTCATGACTAAAACACCAAAAGCAATGGCAACAAAAGCCAAAATGGACAAATGGGATCTAATTAAACTAAAAAGCTTCTGCACAGCAAAAGAAACTACTATCAGAGTGAACAGGCAACCTACAGAATGGGAGAAATTTTTGCAATCTACCCATCTGACAAAGGGCTGATATCCAGAATCTACAAAGAACTTAAACAAATTTACAAGAAAAAAATCAAACAACTCCATCAAAAAGTGGGCAACTGTGGTTGTTTATTGTATTTTAACACCTAAAGAAATTCCTCAAACAAAATTGGTGGTAAGCTGTTGTGAGGTGCTTGAATATGTAATATTTTCTCTCTACAGTGCACTGAATTACTTTTTCTAGTAACCAGTTTGCTGGTTCTAATCATACAATCACATGTGTTTTGATGGGCTTGTGCAACCTAACTAGGCTATCCTGTTGCTATACCACCACCACCACCACTCCCCATTCCAACTTTATTCAGTGCTTTTGATGTGAGGACTAGGATGTTCCAGATTCAGTTTCTTTAGATATTTGATTCAACGATGACCAACACAGTCAAAGATACTTCACACAGATAAGATCCAAATCAAAGGGTAAAAAAAAAAAATAGAATTTCCAGCAATCCAGATACTCCCGATGAAAGTGTTCTTGTTGATATTTTCCTCCCTCCTGACTATCCCAATTTCCATTCTATGACTGTTATTTCATATACACTTATTAATAATGCTTTATGAATGTGAATATGTCAACATATTTCCATTTCATCACTGACAACAAGCTTACAACGTTAGGGCACATCCTATAATTAACACATAGATTTCATAGATGCTATTTTAACACTTACAAAGTTTCACTGAATTATTTTCCATAATTTCTATACTATTTTCACATTGACAGTATTTTTTAGAAAAGGGAAGATTGGAGTTCTCTTATCTGAAGTTTAGAAGGAATTTGATAAATGGAAGATAAGGATATCATTAGCAATTCAGGGACTTTGAAGTGCTCTAGAAAAAATGCTAAAATAATTTACATCAGAGCTCAATTCCAAAAATAGCTTTTCTATAATTCAAAAGCTGGAAGAAATGACTTTTCTAACTGCATATGAAAGTCGATAATGACAATCAAGATCATGATCATGATTTTTCATCCCTCTTATAGAAGACATTTTTTTTCTAAGCTATTCACATACTTGTATTAAATCTTAAATTCCTCAGTACTGTTCATGGTAGACATAGATGAAATTTACTCTACATATGCTTCTCACTCAAAATTTATTGTGTGCATTGTTTTCTAACAACAATTCTGTTTGCATTTTACTAAACATAAAATAGGAATTCATATTGGAATAAAACCCCGAAGATACATCCTCATTATTGATTTAGAATTGAATGACATTATTATCCAAAAAGTTATAGGTTAAAACAACAAATTTTAAGCACACTGTGGTATATTTGTGTGGTTCAAGTAACAACAAAAAGAGCAAAATTTTCCCGAGATAAGCTGTTAATTCTTAATAATTATAAATAGACATAAATTCTTCAAATGAAATAAAAAATACATGCATAAAATAAACATGGCTTCATAATTCTGTGGAATTATTTGCTATAGTTTGGCATTTTTTGTGAAAAAACAATAAAAAGTATGTTATTGTCAATGTTCTTCAGTTTTTCATACACACATAAATACACACACAGACACACACACACATATATACTTTTCCAGACTAACATTAGGTAAAAGACTTTTCTAGGTATATATTTGGAAATTATTTACATACATATATTACAGAAAACCCAGTAGCAAATATAAAATGTTTCATACACCTCCATTTAGTTTTCTGCTAGAAGACATACAATGCCCCTCTTGTGAATCTATGGAGATGAAGCCTTCTGTCCTTTCACTCAGTACCTCACATTCCACAAAGTTGAAAGAAAAATCTGCTTGAGCTTCTTGTTTCCCCAAATCAGGATGAATGGGTGGGTGGAAGGATAGCTGAATATAGTAGCTTGGAAGAACATGAAGACAGGTTTCTTTTCCAGCCTCCCAAAATTCCAAACTGATAGGATTATGGACAGAAAGTAAATGGCACATACCAGGAGAAAGGAGGTCACAATTTGCAAAGCTTTTATGTGGACCTTGGTGCTGGGATCTTGCGATCCTTTGCCATGGACCTGCACCTTCTTCAGATGTTTACACAGAGAATAAATTAACAGTAGAAAAGATATCAGGGTCAGAGTGAGGGGTACAAACTTTGCTAGCATGGTTACAGTTGTATTTGAAAAGTACATTGTACTCCTCAATTTGATCTTCCAAGTCATGTTTACTTCATATTCTTTTGTCCATTCAATCTGATTCATGTTCATCACAAAAAGTTGACAAACCAAAAATAGCAAAGGCCCCAACAGTTTCACCAGAATGACACTCTTAACTCTCCTATTTAAGTGAAGAAAAATAAGGTTGGAGAAAGTGGCAATTCTGAGCAAATAAAACATGCTGAGGCTAGTACCAAGCCAGTTGCTGAAATGGTTGGTCACTACCCAGACATTATAAGCAGTACTTCTTACTTCTACACTATGAAAAGCTAGATCAAACTCAGTTGCATACCAATGTAGTGATAATACCCAGAGCAAACCAACTCTGGAGACAGCCAGAGCAGTGAGAATTTGGCCAGTAAGGAGATCTTTTGTCCCTTGACCCACTCAATGGAATTTATCAACGCTATGAAGCCATTAGCAAAATTTCCAATAAAAAACATAACCACTCTTAGAATGGAAAAAGTGATGGACAGAAAAGTTATCATGTCTAAAAAGACAAAAAGAAATTTTTTAAATGCCAGTGTAATATCACTGGATGTGATTGCTTGAATATCTTAACCTTAAATTCTATATGCACCTGATTTGTGTATGCGCTGTGACATTCTTTTTACTTTTAATTGTTGTGACCAGTGTCAAGCCAGAAATCACCATGACATGCTAATGGATGAGTTCAATGCTCTCTTTACGGAAAACATTCTTATTTTCAAAATGACTCAAATTAATTAATTCATTCACTGTCTGTTCTTCTTATACACTGGAATTATTCATACTGAAGTTGACATGAAACCTGAATTCTCATTTGCTGGTATGTAAACAAGGGCGTATTCATTTTCAGTGTTTGCAATTTTTCCTTGTGTAACCTCTCCATCATTTGTCTTTAGCCACTTCAGCTGTTAGGGAAGTTTTATAACCCAATACAGAGATCATATAGTAAATGCCTAAATTCTTAAAGGGAGCTTGGTCATAACTAAGATCATCACCTATACAGTCTTTTTTAAATGCTAGATATAAATACACAGAATCCAAACTTCTCTTTATCAAAAGTATCTAAGATTTACTTGAGAACCACAGGCAGGCCAGTACTCCATAAGATCTGGTTGCTGCTAAAACTTTTCTGTAACTTCATTATTCACAAGCTCATAAATACATGCACAAACACACACATGTGCACACCACTTATGAATGGAATGAATTATTTTCTTGTAATTTCCAAAATAAAAAATGCATTTCCAGGAGGTTGTCCAGCTGAAATTAGTCCTATTTTCTCACTCAGGGTTTTCAGCCCATGAACAATATTTATTTATCAAACATATCTCTAATTCTTAGACCTTTGGTAAAGTTTCTTTCAAGTCTAATGTTTAAATATTTATTATTTAATTAAAATATTCAGCAATTTTATAAATATTCCTGACTACCAGACTCTTTGATATATAATCTTTCAGCATCCTCCCATCACAGGAAGACTGACTACCTTTCCCCTGAACTTGGAGTTCAATCATTTAACTTACTTTGATGAACAGAAAATTACTACACTTTGCATAAAGATTTGAGATGGCTTCCATACTGGGGATTATTCCTCTTTCCATTTACCATGAGACTATCACCTGGCTAGTACACTGTTCCCAGAAGGAGAATGAGAAGTTAATGAAGGCAGATTGTCCCTACCTGATCCAGATGAAATTGGCCAAACTCTAACAACCTCCAAGATGCAGAAGTTGGCCCACCACAAATCACCAGAGACATTCACCAAACCCAGCTAAGAAAAATGAAATCCAAAACTTGTAACATATAAATATCGAATGTAGTTTTGGAGGTTTTCCTCTTGCAGTAAAACATTAACTGATAAAAGAACTCTGTTAAACCAAGAGTGTGGGAAATATGAACAACCTTGTTGTGTCAGGAATTCGGGAGCCAAAAGAAAAAATCGATGGTGAATGGCAAAGGTTTATTCCTGTGAGGTGGATAATTAAGGCTAGAAGAAATCCTTTGGAAAAATCTGGAGGTGACAGATAACATCATCTGAAATTTCCTCATGTTGCAACTAAATAAGAAAGTTCTTACTTCAACTCTCTTAGAGTTGTTTAAGAATGTATACAAATAGTTTATTTTTCCCCTCAGTATGTAATGAGATGAGTAATAGTAAATTTCTATGAGATATTTCTCCTAATTTAAAATTTTTATATTAAAATTATAATACACACTTAGAAATGAACCAAAACAAAAATGGGAAATACTGCAGTGTATCATAAGCACTCAAGTAACCATGATACAGGGCAAGACAAGGAACATTGAAAACAGCCTAGGTCCACCTCCATGCCACTTTCCAGGCCCGTAACCCCTTGTTCACATCTCTGGAGATAAGCAATATCCATAATATATTATGATCGTTTTCTTGATTTTCGTTATACTTTACCAATTAGTTGTGCAACCCTAAACTGCATAGCTTGGTCTGGCCTGCTTTGAACTGTCTGTAGGTGCAATCCTCATGCTCTTCTTGTTTGTGGCTTCTTGGACTCAACATTGTGTTTCTGAAATTTAGTCACATAGTTGCATGTATGTGTGATTTTTTTTCACTTCTCTATGTTGTTCTGTTGTATGGATTTACTGTAATGATTGATCTATCCTTAATATATATTTGGCCAGCTTTTTTTTGAACAGTTATGAATAATTCTACTAGAGCATTCTCTCATATATCATTTGATACAATTTCTTTGTATATATACCTTCGGGTAGAATTACAGGGTCATTGTTCAAAATCTCCTCATAGACATAGAAAAGCTCAAAAAAGATTTTAAGTAAAGTTACTCCTGTCACCTTGGCCTCCAGTCTATTTTTTGCCATTTGCATATACCTTGTCAATTACATAATTACCCCAACAAGACATTATTATTTTTTACAGTAAACATTCATTTAGAATTATGCATATATTTACCACTTTCATTAATTTGCATTCCTTCTCGTATGTTCAACTTAATATTTTCAGTAAGTCCCTTTACTGGCCAGGCAGGGTCGCTCACACCCATAATCCCAATATTTTGTAAGGCTGGGGCAGGAGCACCCAGGAGTTCAAGACCAGTCTGTGCAACACAGCGAAACTCCCTCTACAATGAATGAAAAAGTTAGCCAGGCATCGTGAAGCTACTCACAAGGCTGAGTGGGAGGATGGTTTGAGCCCAGGAGTTCCAGACTGCAGTAAGCCATGATCCTACCACTGAACTCCAGCCTGGACAACAGAGTGAGACTCCAACTCTACATACAATAATATTAAAAATAACAATTTTTCTATTATCTGAAAAAAATCATTTTAAGTTTCTGTTTATCAAGGTCTATTCTACTTTTGAAAAACACTGAAAACATGATTCCATTGAACTCTAGCTTGATTTTGGTCTGTTGAAAATCAGACTGTCATTTAGACAGTTATTTCCTTTAATGTAATCTATCTCTTCCTCTAGTTACTTTTCAGATTTTCTATTGGTATTTGATGTCCTGTCATTTTATGTTAATTTGGTTTTAGTTACCTTGTCTGAAGATTGATGGTTCCTAAAATATATGAACTGATACTTTTTGTCACTTTTTAAAAAATCTCCACATTGCTTCTGCCCCATTTTCTCTTCTAATCTTCCAGAACTGCAGAAGTACGTTACATGTTCTGATTGTAGCTTCAATGTCTCTGACCCTCTAGCCTTATATTTTGTATCTCTTGGTCTCTTTGTGCTTCATTCTAGGAAACTTTCTTCCAATTCACTCATTCTTTCTTCTCTTACATTTAACTGGTTGTTAAATATCAATATTTAACAATTGAGAATTGGACTGTCAATATTGATTACTCTTTTTTTATCATTGTTTTAGCGGTAGAAATAAACTTTTGTTCTCCTTGTATAAATCATTTTTTAATGGAGAAACTAAACAAAGTATTCCTAACACAAATTCTCAGAAAAAAAAGATAGTTTTATAAATTTTTAGTACACCGGACATGAAAATGGCAACGATTTTCTACTTTTTGTAATACTTAGGTCACAGAAGAGATTAAAATCATGGTCTAGGCATTCTCCTGCAACTTGGAAGAAACTTGAAATTGATTTCATGTTAATAGTTTTTTGCTTTTTGTTTTGTTTGTTTGTTTGTTTGTTTTTGGATAGTAGCTTGTCTGTTGCTGGGTCATCACCACAAACTCTCCTCCCAGGGAAATTTAATGAGCAGTACTTGATCTGAAAATGTCATTACAATTAATAAAATATAGTATCTCAACCACAGCTCCACCATTCTATTCCGTGATTTAAATTTTACTCTATTTCTATTAGCAGAAATCAAGACTTCTTCGTTTAAAATAATCTTTAAAATATCAAAAATTAAAACAGTACTTACAAGTGTATCAAAGATTGAAGGACTTTAAGTTCCATGGAAACAAAACTGAACTGGTGCTTCTAAGGAATTCCACCATTTATTCCCCATCCATGAATATAGTTTTCATTATAGAAATATAACCTTCAAACTCCATCATCACTCACTCAAATGTGACAGAAGATCTGAGATATTACCTCTGTTTGAAAATTTGGTCCTAAAATACTCTCTAGAAATAAAAGTTTACTCATAAATTGTGTTTCTATCGTGATCATAGTGAAACAAGGATTATTTTAAACCCAGCTTCATTGGAATGAGTTCATAAGCCAATAGTTGATGAGGTTTCATAATTGATAAATACTTATAAACCAAGAGCAAAACGGAGCTGAAAAGTCCATTCCTAAGGTCAGCCTTTGAAGTGGAAAATCAAAGAACCTCAACCAGTTGTCAGGACACAGCCAATTCCGAGAACAAGAATTCAATAATTGAAGGGAAGCTTAAGTCCCCTAGATAAAGGATGCTGAAAATTCACTACAAGGATATTCAGGGTGTATTCATATGGTATAGGGCTCTTACAGTAGGTAGATAGTCACGCATGAGTGGGGCAGAAGACGGCTCTCACCACCCACCAGGAATGTCAGGTGGCCATCAGGTGATGGCCTGGCAGTTGTCACACTGCCTCTCTAAAAATAATAATTGGTCACAGGCACCAGGGAGAGACAATTTCACAATAAATACAAGTGCTTAAAATTGGTAGTCAGCAGCTCAGGAACAGGGCGAGTAGGCTGAGGCATGCGTGTTGAGAGAGAAAATGGTGGAATATGACCTTCTTTGGGCATTCCACCAAAAACGGGAAGAATGCCTCAGGCAAGCATGTGTACAACTCCAGTAAACACACTGTGCATGCTCACCCCTCAAGTGTTAGCAGGCCACCACGAATGTGAGCAGCCCACCCTAAGAGGCTGAATCATGGAAAAAGGAACACAAGACCCTAAGGGAAGAATCGTGGGAAAAGGAACACAAGACCCCAGAGGTATACCAACATATAAAACCCCAAGTCAAAAGGCCTAACACTGCACTTGACCTCGAAAGTGCCCACTGTGGTCTCTTCCAAGTGTGCTTTCCTTTCTTTCCTGTTCTCTTTTTAATAAACTTCCATTCCTCCTCAGAAACTTCCTTCAGTCTCTTCTGACTTATGCCCCTCAGTTGAATTCCTTCTTCTGAGGAGGCAAGACTTGAGGTTGCTGCAGACTCATATGAAATTGCCACCAGTAAACCAGATATTGGCCCTCCCAGCAGAGCCTGAACTAACACTAATGTCTTTGTACCCAAAAGACACTGTGGTCTATGAGATAGAGTGGGAGATATTCTTTTTAATTTTTTTTTTGTTTTTTGTGTTATTTGCATCTGGGTTTTTTCAGAGACTCAGTCTCAATCCGTCACCCAGGCTGTATGTAGTACAGTGGCATGATCATTACTCAATACAACCTTGAGTAATGATTTTACTCAGTAAAGCCTGGGTTTGTAACAGATTGCCCCAGTTTTTCCTAAGAAAAAGAGTATGAGTTACTATTTTTTATTATTATTTTATCTTCTCTTCTCTCCTTCTTCCCTTTGTTCTCTATATCCTGCTTAGCCCTTCATAAATGCAAATGTAACCTTTCACCCCCACTCACTGGACATTCCCTGCAGGGCACATTTCTCTAACTATGTGCTCCAAGACAGATCTCCCCTGAGAATTGACAGTCAATTTGCAGACCAAAGCACATCCACCACAGAACTTTTACCTCCAGGAAGTGGACCTGGAAATTCCAGGCTCTGCTCCACTCCAGGAATTGCCTGAGGACTTTCATCCAACAGGAGGTCATACGAAAACCATACCCACTTGGCCACTTTTGTAATGTATTTCTGCAAAAGAAAGCACCAATTCAACTACCTGGTAGTGTAGGGGTTCAGTCAGAATGGTAGGGAAAATTATAAAATAAAACAAAAACCTTCTTGGAAGACCAAGAAGTTGTTGCATAGCTTCAGATAGCTTGGCTGAAGGCAGCCAGAGTCTCTTTGCAGGAGCCAGAGAACTTAGGGCACAGATACAAAGCAATGTAGAGTAGTTTATCTAAAGAGCTTGTTTACTGAGATAGTCCTAAAACTAACCTTTCATCACTCACAGGCAATATTGCTCTCCTGCGAAAAGGTGACCAGGGTGATTACCCTCTAATTGTGTTGACTCAAAGCTTTTGTCATTTAATGTGTGCTAAACAAATGCCAAGAAAGGCCAGCAAGTCTGGACTAAGACTGACAGCACTCTCCTGAGAGTCTGTAAGTGGCCAGGAGGCTGGGCCAGGCTGACAAGCCAAATATATGTGTCAGTGTATGTTACTCCTCTGTCATTGAGTCAGGGTCTGCAGGACAGACCCCTCGCATGGTAGATAAGGCACCAAGCTTGCAGGAGGACCCTCTACCCTTGCTCAATATCCCCCCTTACCTTATAAAAGTGTCTGCTTTCTGCTCCAAAGGTGAAGTGGTACACTTAAAGGCAGGACTCCTCGTGCCCCTTCCCCAAGCTAGGTTTGGAATAAATTTATTACTTCTGTACCAGGCCTCACTCTTGTTAACTGGACTCTTGTCAACTGACTTGCATATTGGTTATAAGTTCAAGGGAGTCTCCTGCCTCAGCCTCCTGGGTAACTGGGACCACAGGTGAGCACCACCATGCCAAAATAAGTTTTGTTTTTTTTTTTTTTTTTTTTTTTTTTTTTTTTTTTTTTTTTTTTTTTTTTTTTTTCAGTTTTTGTAGAGACAGGCTCTCACCATGTAGCCCAGGGTGGTCTGGAACTCCTGGCGTCAAGAGATATTCCCAACTGTGCCTCCCAAAGTGTGGGAATTGCAGGCATGAGTCATCATACCCACCCTGCACTGGGAGTTTTTGAAGGTCAGATGCTACTTAAGAGTTTTGGCTCATGTCCATCCCAAGGGGCATCTAATCAGTTTTCCATTATTACCTCTTCCTGAAGGTGTAATTGAAATGGACACACATGGCAGCTGGCAGGATTCTCACTTTCTTCCTGACCTGTACAGTAAGGGACATTATTAGAGCAAGACCAAGGGGAAACCTGTGAAATTCTCCACTGCAACAATGATTGAAAAGTAATAATCACATTCTCCAAGGTATGGAATTGATCACTACCGTGACAAAACACTTGAAAGTTTTGTCACAGGGGATGGTAGTCTTTTTATATCCCTATCCGCCTAACCTAACTGACCTCTACCAAAATCAGACACATTATAAAATGAGGTCAGAGTTCCGTAAATTTAAATCACTATTTACAAATGCTCTCTAGGATGTGGTATCTTCCCTGAGCAGAGCAGAGCTTCTGGCAGTTTGCATGTGGCTCTTGATTTAGTGAATATTTCTTATTTTACACCCATGGGTGGGGTCAGGAGATTGTAACAATTGGCCTCTGTGTGTTAAGAATAAAAGCGCTGCTTCACTGTTTTATGTCAAGGCGATGTCACTTCTGCTCTCACTTTAATTTACATTTTGCAAAACATCATGTTATTCTATTAATAATGTTACGGTAATTGGTGCAATAACCAGGAAATGGAACGTTCCCTATAGTAAAATACTTGAACATTAAATAGAAATACAACACCAGAAGAGAGATACACCTGACAATATTTAGAGATCTGAAACACAGATTTTTTTTAGGGGTCCCAAATTCCTGGTCCACATGCCAAAAAATCCATTTATTTATTTATTTATTTATTTATTTATTTATTTATTTATTTTTGAGACAGAGTCTCCCTCTGTTACCCAGGCTGGAATGCACTGGAGCAATCTTGGCTCACTGCAACCTTCACCTCCTGGGTTCAATCAGTTCAAATCCTTCAACTTCCTGAGTAACTGTGTTTACAGGCTTTTGCTACCATGCCTGGCAATTTTTTTTTTTTTTTAATTTAAGTAAAGATGGGGTTTCACCATGCTGCCCAGACTGATCTCAAACTCACGGCTCCAAGTGATCTGCCCACCTTGGTCTCCCAAAGTGCTGGGATTACAGGCATGAGCCACCATAACCAACAGAAACATCCTTTTTAAAGTAAGTGGCCTGTTGCCTTATATATACTTCCTATGACTAAAAGAGAAGCACAGTGTTTATCGAGCCTCTTGGGGTTTTGGTGTCCACAAACACCACAGTAGATGACATGGCTCCAACATGTTAATAAAGTCTTTTTATATCCCTATTCACTTAACCTACCTAGCCTCTGACAAAACGAGATGGGTTACAGAATGAATGTAAAGACTACTGGTTTCAAGTGAAATCCAGAACATGAGATATCTCTACAGCAGATATAGGCTCTGGCCCAACCTGCTCTACCCATTGTGTCAGATGATCCAGCAGAATTCAAAGCTGCTAGAGGCATGCATTGTGGGCATTACAGGATTCTGTGCATGTCTCCATCAAGCCCGTAGGAGAAGAGAAAGCAAATACCTAGGAAATTAGTGCAGAACTATTCCCTCTTCAGCAGAGGAGTATCCACTGTCTGAAAAGCAAAAATACAAGTACAGAGCATTAATCCAACCAAAAAGCCCCTCAAACACAAGATTCCATGCAACTGCACAAGTCATATGCTTGTAAATCCAGCCACAATTGGAGGGCGTCAGCACATCTGAGTGGCACAAGGAGGGGACTGTATTATACACAAACATGTGCTTTCTCAGATTTCCTTGAATGTCTCCTGAGGGAAAGATGTGTGATAAACAAAATGTGTGTGTGTATATATAGATAGATAGATATACAAAATATATATATATATACACACACACATACACACACATATCAGATGTGGATCTGATACATATATATGTGGATCTGATACATATATATGTGGATCTGATTTGTGCTGGCTTTTTGGTCCTGGGAGTCAAGAGAAAGCAAGACAGATATGACCTCTCTTTTTATGGTGATTATATTGTACTAGGGAAGATGTATGATAAACAAAATGTGTGTGTGTGTATATATATAGATATATAGATATATATCTCAGATGTGGAGTTATTTTAAGTTTTACATAATAATGTTAAAATGTCATGACACCAAGAATTAACAGTCACACAGAATTTAGTTGTTCAACAAGGCTGTATATTTCCTTCTTATAATAGTACTTGGTATCAATAGATACGTCAACACACTTTGTGTTATTTCACCATTTAAACAATTATAATAAAACAAATCATTAATACATTTCCCATAATCAATATATAGATTTCATATATTTTTAACATTTAGAGAAAGTTTAACATTTAACATTTGAAGAAAGTTTCATTCAATTATCATCTATAGTTTCTATACTCTCTTTTGGTTGGGCCTTTATAAGACAGAGAATATTTGAGTTTTTTTGAGGAATATTAGGAATGGAGGATAAAGGAGAAAATTGGAAATTCAGGGGCTCAGAGGTGGCTAAGAAGAATAAACGGAAATACTTTATATCAGATGTCAACTTCAAAAAAGGTATCCTTTAATTCAAAAAGTGAAAGAAATGACTTTTCTAACTACACATAGAAAAATTATAACAGCACTGAAATGACCATCATCATGTTTCTTCACTCCTATTACAAAAATTATTTTTATTCTAGGCTATTCACATACTGGTATTAAATCTAGTATTCCTCCGTACTGTTTTTGGTATACATGTACAAAACTTACTCTACATATGTTTCTCACTCAAATTTTGTTGTGTGCATCATTAGCTAACAATTTGCTTTCTACTAAACATAAAATAAGATTTCCTAATGAAATAAAACCTACCCCAAAGATACATTCTCATCATTGATTTAGAATTGCATGTCTTTACCATCCAAAAAATTAGGGGTTCACCAATGATAGTTAAGTACATATATGTGGTACAAATTACAATGGAAAACAGCATTAATTTCCTCATAAAAGCTGTAAGTTCCTAATTATAAATAGAGATAATAATTTCTTCAAAGGAAATATTATACAATGAGCTATAATAAAATATACATACAATATATATGTGAAATATACTCAGCTTCATAATTTATGGTCAATGTTGTTATTTATACATGCACACATATACACCCATATATATATATGTAAGACTTTTTTAGGTATTTTTTTTTTGAAATTACTCAAATACATACACTATGGAACAATCAATAGAAATATAAAATGTTCCACACACCGTCAGTTTGTTTACTGCTAGAAGACACATGATGCTCCCCTTGTGAATCTATGGAGTTGAGGGTTTCTGTCCTTTCACTCAGCATGTCACCTGCCACAAAACTGAAAGAAAAGTCTGTTTTAGATTCCTATTTCCCATAATCAGGATGAAGGAGTGGAATGAAGGATACATGATTGCAAGAGTTTGGCAAAGCAGAAATACAAGTTTGCTCTGCTGTTTCCAAGGACTCCAGGTTAAACTGATTAGACACAGAAAGTAAATGGCAAACAACATGAGGAAGGAGATCACAGTTTGCAGAGATTTTATGTGGACCTTGGTGCTGAGATCTTGAGATCCTTTGCCATGGAGCTGTATCTTCTTGAGATGTTTACACAGAGAACAGATTAACAGCAGAAAACATATTAGGGTCAGAGTGAAGGGTATGAGGTTTGCTAGCGTGCTTACAGTCAAGTTTGAAAGGTGTATTGCATTCTTCAATTTGATCTTCCAAGTCACATTTCCTTCATATTCTTTTGTCCACACACCCTCATCCGTGGTTACCACAGCAAGATTACAAATCAAAAATGCCAAGGGCCCCAACAGCATCACCCGAACAACACTCTTAATTCTCTTCTGTAGGTGGAGAAAAATAAGGTTGGAGAAATTGGCAATCTTGAGCAAATAAAATATGCTGAGGCTAGCAGCAAGCCAGATGCTGAAATGGTTGATTATTGCCGAGATATTAGAAGCAAAACTTCTTACTTCTGAACTACATAAAGCCGAATTAAACATAGTTGCATACCAATATAATAATATGGCCCAGAGTAAACCAATTCTGTAGATCACGAGAGCAGTGAGAATTTGGTCAACTAAGGAAATCTTTCGTGTCTTAACCCAGTCAATGACATTTACTAGAGCTATGAAGCCATTGGCAAAATTTCCAAGAACAAATGCAAACACTAACAGAATTGATAAAATGATGAACAGAAAATACATCATGTTAGATGTTAGACCAAAAAAATTGCAGGCTTAATAACACTGGTTCTGATTCCTTTAATATCCAGACTTTAACTTCAATAAATACTTGATTACTAACTGTGCAATAACATTGGGCCTTTAAATTCTGTGACTAATGTCAACAGGAAAGCACCAGCATATACTAATGGATGAGTTCAAAGCTGTCTTTATAGAAATAGAAAATATTATTATTCTCAAAACAGCTCAAATTCACTCCTCTTAATATACTATGTGTCCCTGCTACATGCTGAATTTTTTATACTGATGTTGAAGTGGAAAGTGAATTTTCATGTGTCAGTATGCAAATAAAGGCATATTCTTTTTCATTGTTTTGCAATTTTTTGCCTTGTTTAACCTCTCCATAATTTGTATGCAGCATCTTCAGTTGTTTCATAGGGAAATTTTAAAACCACATACATATATCATATAGTAAATGTCTAAATCATTAAAGGAGCTTGGTCATAACTAGGATCATACCAATATGGATTTATTTTTATGCCAGACTTAAATACCAGATTCTAAACCTTTTATCAAAATCATCTAAGGTTATCTTGGAAAGCCCTGGGAGGCCAATACAACTTAAAATCTGGTTTCTGATAACCAATAAATTTATATGACACCATTATTAATAAACTCATAAACATATAGACGCACATACACTCACACCCTTAGGGGATGGAAAGAGTTATTTTCCTATAATTCCCCAAACGGAAAACGAGTTTCCAGGAGGTCATCCAGGTGGAATTAGTCCTATTTTCCCACTCACGGCTGTCAGACAATGAATAATATTTACCAAGCATGTTTCTCATGCTTAGGTCTTTGGTATAATTACACTCAACTCTGTTTTGTTTAAATATTAATTATTTAATTAAAATGTTCAGTAATTTTGTAAATATTTCAAAGTACCCTACACTTTGTCATATAACCTTGTACTACCCTCCCACCACAGGCAGGGTGACTACCTTGACCTTGGACTCCGCATTCCCTCCTGTAATTTGCTTTAGTCATCAGGAAATTAGTAGACTTTACACAGAGATTTAAGACAGCTTCCATACTGGAGTTTCTCACTCTTTTCCGTTTACCATGAGGACATCATTTGGCTAGTACACTGTTCCCAGAAGAAGAATGAGAAACTAATGGAGTCAGAATGCCACTGCCTTTTCTAGCCTAAATCAGCTGAACTAGCTTCAAGATGCAGTACACGACCCATCTCCAGTAACCAGAGCCATCCACCAAACCTAGCTTAGAAAAATGAAATCCGAAGACGTGTGAGGTACAAACATCTAAAGTAGTTTTGGAGGATTTTCTCTTGCAGAAAAACGTAACTGATATAGGCATTCTGCTAAACCAAGAGTGTGGGAAACATGTCCACACTTGTTGTGTCAGGAATTCGGGATTCAAGGGAAAAACAGACTGAGAATGTCAAAGTTTTGTCACATGAAGTGGATAATTAAGCCTAAAGGAAAAGCCTATTGAAAAATCTGCGGTTGGCAGGTAACATCATGTCAACTTTCAGAAAGTTGTAACTAAAATCAGAAAGTTTCTACTTAAAATTTCTTAGAGTTATACATAAATGTATACAAATAGTGAATTTTTTCCTTCAGTGTATAATGAGCAGAGTAATAATAATTTTCATCGAACATTTCTTCTAATTAATTTTTATATTATAACTAGACTGCACACTTGGAAATTAGCCAAAAGGAAAACATAGCAATGTGTCATAAACACTCATGTAACCATCATGTAGGGCTAAACATGGAACATTGCTAAGAGCCTAAGTTTACCTCAATGCCACTTTCCAAGTCCCTACACCTTTCTTCACATCTTCTGTGATAAGCAACATCCATAATTTATGATGATCTTTTTAAAATTTTCTTTATACTTTACTAACAAGGAATATGACCCTAAACTCAATAGCTCGGTTTGTCCTGCTTTGAACTGTGTGTAGGTGCTATCCTATATGTTCTTATTCATGGCTTCCTGGAATCAATATTATGTATCTAAAATTTAACTCCATAGTTGCATGTACATGTGATCCATTTCTTTTTGCTTCTGTATAATTTTTCATTTTATGATTTTACTGTAATTATTTATCCATCCTTATTTGATATATATTTGGGCAGCTTATTTCTGAGCTATTATGAATAAAGCTACAGTGAGCATTCTTTCACATATCATTTGCTACAATTCTTTTGCATATAATATACCTGGGTGTGCAATTACAGGGTCCTTGATTATGATGTTCACATTCTCCTTACAGACATAAAAAAGCCCAAAACATAGTTTGACTAAATTTATTCCTGTCACTTTTATCTCCAGTCTCCTTATTCCTATTTGCATATATCTTATCAATTATACATTCAATCCAAGAAGACAGTATTGTTTTACTCAGTCAATATTTATTTAGAATTACACATTTTTCATTGTCATTAATTTTTATTGCTCCTTGCCTATTTAACTTTGTATTTTCAGTAATTTTATTTTATCTGACAAATATTACTTTCAAATTCTGTTTTTGAAGGTCTACTATTCTTTGGAAATACACTGAAGACATGATTCCCATGATTCCATTGAATTCCTGCTTCCATATTTTCTGTTAAAATCAGGTTGTATTTAGAATGCAGTTCTTTTCAACATTATCTTCTACCTCTAGCTACTTTTCAGATTTTCTATTGATCTTTGCTGTCCTGTATTATTTTATGTTAACTTGATTTTAGTTATCAAGCCTGACATTTGAGATTACAAAAAATAATTGGAGGCATACATTTTATCACTTTTAGAAAAATCCTTGCAACATTTCTCTTGCTCTATTTTCTCTCCTCTTATCTTACAGAACTCCAGAAGTATGTTAGGTGTTCTGACTGTAGCATCAATGTGTTACCCTCTAGCTTTGTATATTGCCATCTCGCTCTCTGTGCTTCATTCTTTGTAGCTATCTTCCAATTCACTTATTATCTCTTCTACTGCATCTAACTGATTAACTCTATTGGATTCTCAATATTGATAATTCATTTTTTTCAGTCTTATTCTTTTAGTGTTCGGAATAATCTTTTATTCTTCCATAAATCATTTTCTATGGGGAAACTGAACAAACTACTGTTAACAGCATGTTCTTTTTAAAAGTGCTTTTGACTTTTGGGGTTTTTTGTGTTTTGTTTTAGTATGTTAGAAATGAAAATGGTAACAATTTTCTTTGTTTCCCAACACTTTGGTCAGAGAATAGAACAAAAATGCTGTTCTGGAATTTACCTTCAATTTGAAAGAAATTGGAAATTAAGTTGATGTGAGTAGCTTTTTTTGGATACTAGCTTGTCTGTTGCTGGGTCCTCACCACAAATTCTGCTCACAGGCAAACTCAATGAGCAGCACTCAATCTCAAAATATCATTGCAATAGATAAAATATATTTCACCAACCACAGCTACATTGTTGTAGTCAGTGAATTAATTTTCACTTTGCTTATGTTGTAGAAATGGGGCTCTCTGCCTTTGAACTCCATCATTACCTAATGAAATAGAGAAGATGTGGGGGAGGGATTACTTCTCTTTGATTTATTTAGCCCTAAAATCCTCTCTTTAAAAATAAGAGCTTGATTGTGAAATGGTTTACTTATTTTTCATATTAAGCAATTTTATTTATACTAAAATAAAAATCTTTTTGTAATGTTACTTGGATTAGTTTAATATAATCTGTAATTGTTTCCTTAAGCAATGTATTTTAAACTACACTACACTTAACTTTCTAAATCTAAATGTATTCGGCCTGACTTGAACTTTGTTGTTTACTAATATAACTTTCTTACAATGATGTCTCTTAGAAATTACATAGACTTTACCCAAATTATGTGTGTAAATATTTCAGAAATAAATCATTTAATAAGATAGATGTCAATGTAGATGATGATAATAATGATGATGATGTCAGCTAAAAGGTAGAATGTTATGTAATAAATGTGATTTTGGTCTTCTTTTCAAAGCACTACAGTTAATGGTGGTGGGAGAACACTATTATTCTTCCTCATAGATTCACATTTTTTTTTTTTTTTTAGACAGAATTTCTCTCTTGTCACCCAGGTTGGAGTGCAATGGCACAATCTCGGCCCACTGCAACCTCTGCCTCCCTGGTTCAAACAATTCTCCTGCCTCAGCCTCCTAGTAGTTGGGATTACAGGTGGCTGCCACCACACCCAGCAGTTTTTTTTTTATTTTTTGTAGAGATGAAATTTCACTATGTTGGCAAGGTTGGTCTGGAACCCCTGACCTCAGGTGATCCACCAGCCTTGGCCTCCTAGAGTGCTGGGATTACAGGCATGAGCCACTTTGCCTGGCATGATTCATATATTATTCCCAGAATCAGGCCTAGACAAATACCCTCACATAGCATTTCATCAGGAATAACATAGAAACAACATATTTCCAATGATTTACTTGCTATTTCTTTTCTTTTACCACATTCTAAAAATTATGCCAAAAGTGACTTCTAGTAAAGAATACTCTCTTTTTGACTGTTTAATTTTGTTCTACTTTCATATGAACTGACACAAATACTCTGTGCAATTATAGAGTGTATAAGCTTCATTTCACCTTTTAATAGCATCACTAACAAGTTAAATTCTCAAAACTCCTTATTTACATTGTCAGTTATAGTCACAAAATCTGGGTGATTTTATTAAAGCAGTCAAAGTAGTTACACTACATACGTTACAAGCCTTAACAAAATTATCTTTCTATGAATTTTTCTCTAATATTCAAAAAATGTGTAGTATCAAAATATTTTTTCACACGTGTACACATGCATGGTATTAAAATATTTTAATAGCATCATTAGCAACCCAAATTCTTCCAAATGCTTTTTCGGATTCTTAGCTATGGTGACTAAATCTGGATTATTTTACTATAGCAGTCAAAGTAGCATTATACATGCACAAACATACTCAAAGATCATGCTAATATGTTTGATTCCTTAACAAATTTGCCTTTCTATGATTTTTTTCTCAACGTAGAGCCAAAAAATTTATAGTAACAAGATATTTTACCCAACACGCAGGTGTACACATGAATAGTATTGTGAAATTAGAATGCTAACAATATGAATATAGATATTTCATTTAGAGACACATTTTGGATATATTTAATTTAATATATTTAATATCCATCTTACGATAATTAATTGGAAATTCATGAATTTCTGACACTTTCAAATGTGTATCCTAAGTAATTTAATTGTAAATAAGAAAAAAGTCTCTATCAATAATAAATATTCAAATTTTGACGTTTCAAATTCATATTAGCATTAAAAAGGTGGATTTACAGTTCTTGCTTATGTCTCCTTTTTTTAAATTAACTTAAGAAAAGTTTTGGGCCAGGTGTGGTGGCTCACATCTGTAATCCCAGCAGTTTGGGAGGCTGAGGCAGGAGGATTGTCTGAGCACAAGATTTCAAGCCCAGCCTGGGCAACATGGCAAAACCCTGTCTCTGCAAAAAATAGAAAATATTAGCAGGGTGTTATTGAGGGATCTGGTCAACAGCCCGCAATGCAACGGGGCTCTCTCTCTGTTCCCAGGTGGATCGTCAAGTCGAGAAATAATAGACACACACAAGATAGTGAAAGATGGGTCCAGAGGGGTCACCGCCTTCTGATCCCGCAGTGCCAACAATGCTCTGGATATGCTAGCATTTATTATTAAGTTTAGTGAGGGCGGGGGTAGGTTAGTGAGGGATTCAGTGTCATTTGATTATGAGGTGAGAAGGTCACATGGGGATGAAGTAATTCTTTAACATAACATCTGTATGCAGAAGTACCGTATACAGTGATAAGAATTTACAACATAGTGTGTGCATCAGTAATTTCTTTTTTTTTTTTTTTTTTTTGAGACGGAGTCTCACTCTGTAGCCCAGGCTGGAGTGCAGTGGCCGGATCTCAGCTCACTGCAAGCTCTGCCTCCCGGGTTCACACCATTCTCCGGCCTCAGCCTCCCGAGTAGCTGGGACTACAGGCGCCCGCCACCTCGCCCGGCTATTTTTTTTTTTTTTTTTTTTTAAATTTGTTTCACCGTGTTAGCTAGGATGGTCTCGATCTCCTGACCTCGTGATCCACCCGTCTCGGCCTCCCAAAGTGCTGGGATTACAGGCTTGAGCCATCGCGAGCGTTAAAACAGGAACAGCAATAACAGTTACAGCAAAAGTTGGTTACAAACAATTCATAGAAACAGGACGTGAAGTTTAATTTCTAACAGAGTCTTAAAACAGGAATACAGTCTTTCCATAACCCATGATTAGCAAGCTATTAATCAGCAGTAACAGTTGCAGCAAAAGCTGGTGAGAAACAATTCACAGAAATAGGATGTGAAGTCAGACAACTGGTTAGACCAGAAATTCTCAGAAGGGAGAATGCCTTAACCCTAAAGAGAACTAGAAGAGCCGCGCAAGATGAAGGGGTTTATAGCCGTATCTTATTCAAAAGGACAGGCGCCCCCCATGCATCCGTTTATAAGCTTTCCACAAGGGTTGCATTCCATTCCCAGAGCTATGAGCATCTGCTTTTCTGGGATAGGAATCTTGGTGATGTGAAACCTCCCTGACTGTACGCCCATTCGTAGGCTCTCTGCAGGGGGACGCACATCACATGCCGTTAGCTCCTTCTGGCAGTCCAACCTGGCATTGCCTTTACACAATCCTGCATGAAGTTTGTATTTACAATAATCAGGAGCATTTCATCTTTTATTCCATAGCAATAGTTTCAGGGGTCTCCCTACAGGGTGTGGTAGTGCACACCTGTTGTCCTTGCTACTCTGGAGGCTGAGGTGGGAGAATCACTTGAGCCCAGGTGGCGAAGGTTGCATTGAGCCAAGATTTTGCTTGTGCACTCCAGCCTGGGCAACAGAGTGAGACCCTGTCTCAAAATAAAAAACGAAAAGTTTTAAATTTTAACTTGGATTTCTTAGTACCATAATGCTCTATTCTCCTTTATTCAGCAAAACTCTAATTACAATGGTATCTATGAGAATATGCTGTATCACCCTAATTTTACACTTAGAAATGTACTTTATGTTTCTGCTTTTTTAATATTTTTTATTGTGGAGCACAACATACATATGGAGAGTAATACTACCCAATAAACAGAAAGAGAAAAAATTATAACGTTAACATCGATGTTACCACACCTTTGTCAGAAAATAGAATTTGCCAGCAATCTAGATAATCCTAATATATGTCTTCTTACTGATAATTTCCTCCCTCCTGACTATTCCAATTGTTATGATGATCACTCATATGTTTCACTGTGGAGTTTCATCACCAATGTAATAAATTACAATTATTAAAATTAATGTTTTTCAAACTTTATGTAAATTAGATTATACTAAATGTATTTTTCCATCTTGATAATTCCTCACATCTGTATTATTATCTATGTCGCTCAAATTTGTTCCTTTCCTTTGTTGTATTATTCTGTTGTAAACTGTGAGTCTTGTTTGTTAATTTTGATCACTGTATAGTATTCCATTGTATAAGTATGATGCAATTTGTTTATCCATTTGGAGGAATGATAGACATTCCAAGGACTTCTCAACTTTAGCTATTGAAACTCAGTGATATGTATGTGTATGGATATGAATTCTGATAAGAGTGTAAATACTGGGTCTTAGGATGTTATCCTTAATCTTAATCAGATAATGCCATACTCGGTCGAAATGATGGCACAGATTTATAATTCTAGGATTAGCGTAAGAAAATTCCCATTTTTTCATATCCTTTCCAAAATAAGTAATGTCAGGCTAATATTTACACTTTCATATTTGTATAAAATATTATTAACCAATAGTTTCCAAGTCCTTTTCTATTCTTATTCAGAATGTATTTTTACTTCAAAAAATTACATTAATATTTTTTCATTCTATGACTGTTATTTCATATATACTTATTAATAATGCCTTATATATTATACATATTTATTTATATTTCATTATAAATTTGTCTAACCTTTTTTCTTCTAGTTTCAAATACTCTTGTTATAAGTAAGTGTAATTATACTGGAGATGCTTCCTTTAATCAATCATTATGTCAAATGACTTCGAAAAAATATAATTAGTTAATAGCATACTGTCAGGGAAATTTCAGGATTGTTTAACAACTCTTAAAAGGACTCAAAGAAAAAAATGTTGAAATATAAAAATAGTCTACAAGTTTAAAGTAGGCATCTATAGTAAAATATAAATATATTATTATTGCTAAAAAATGATTGGTAGTAAGTTTATTATATCTGAATTTTTTTAAAGGCAGGACAGATATCATTGGTCAAGATTCTCTTTAAGGTCCTGACCTTAACTTCTATGTGTACCTGATTCCTGAATGTGCAGTAACGTTCTCGTTCCTGTTAAATTCTGTGACCAATGTCAAACAGGAAAGCATCTCAATATGCTAATGGATGAAATCAATGCTGCCTTTATGGAAAACATGATAATTTCCAAGACAGCTCATATTAACTCCTATTCAAACACAATGTCCTTGCTGTAAATTAAAATTTTCCATATTGGTGTTAAAGTGAAAGGTGAATTCTCATCTACTAGCATGCCAAGGAAGAGTTTTTTAATTGTTCTGCAATTTTTTCCTTGTTTAACCTCTCCATAATTTGTGTTCAGCAACTTCAGTTGCTAGAGAAATTTTACAACCCAGAACATAGGTGAAACATTGGTTGCATAACCCGGTAAAGGGAGCTTGGGCATAACTAGGATCATCCCCAAAGTAGACTTAATTTTTCAACACCAGTAACATGTAGAGTGAATCCCAACTTTTCCTACCAAAAGGATTCAAGGTTTTCTTGGGAACCTCAGAAAGGACAATAATTCTTAAAACTTGGTTGCTACTAATACTTTTGTATAACTTATTGTTAACAAGCTCATTAATGCAAACATACTCACACACATACACACATACTCATGCCCTCATGGATAGAAGGAATTGCTGTCCTATAATTTCTAAAATGGAAAATTAATTTCAGGGAGATCATCCAGATAGAAGTAGCCCAATTTTCCCATTTGGGCTTTTCAACCCATTTTCAATATTTATCAAACTTATCTCTCATGCTGAG